TATCATAAAGACCATAGATAAAAGAATGATCATCGATATTCAAATAAGAAAGTATAAACATTAGCTTCTAACTCATTTACTACTAATAATATCTTTTGCCTGATACGCTTAGTTCATTGGGCATAAGGAATTACTTGAACCTTTTTAAACCCATCTGCTGTTCCCACTCAGTGAACTCACAAGAAATTTTAAATTTTCAAGGGAAACACAGCAACATCTATCAGATATGGAATGCAATACTACTATTAGGTTGTTTGGACCTAAGTACTTAATAAATGGACATGTTAGATAATTCTTTTGGCTTTGGGAAGACCATGAAAATAATACTGAGACTAAGGATGTATGAATAGAAACACCTTGGGAAATTCTAACATAAGAACCTGGACAATAAAAATGTAAACAAAATCATAACTCGTGAATATGTTATTTGTACTCTATGCTAATGTAAGTCGCTGCATGATAGACGATAAAATAGGTCAGGTTAACAGGGAGCAGCTATAAGATGATAGTTTTCAATTGATAGTCATACTTACTTGTATCTTTTACAAACCAGATTAACTACTATACATGTAACAAGGAAAGGACAAAGAAAGGACCAACCTCATACATTTTTTCTACAACTGATTATCAGAGTGAGAGCACTTAGGGAAAAACAATAGCTTTCAAAAATTCTAATGTGAAGCCTATTGTATTTGAATATCCCAAAATAGTATTTTAAATGGAAAATAGTATTTTAACTGACTGAAGATTAAATGTCATTTTTAACAATGAGTCACAACAAAAATTACACAGATATAAATATTCCATATCCATGGGTTTTCCAGGTCAATCTTCAAAATGTGCTGAAAACAACTATTAATAACAAGCATGATTTTGTAGTCTTAGCATTGCTGCTTAGAGTTTCAAACTAAATTGTGGGCCACCAAGGGCCCCACATTTCTCCAACCAGTCTGGGATACTCCTTCCAGGGTTTTAGCAGATCTCACAAGCCTAGAGGGCAGCCTGATGGCCAGAAGGATGAAGCAAAACATTGATTTGGGACAAGTGGTAGCAAACCAAGACACAGGGAAGAGTAACTGACTCGTGGAATCCCATTTTTTCATACTGAATAATAGCAATATACCAGTATTCAAACAGCATCAGTTTCAGTCAGAGCATGGGAAGAGATTTCCTTCCATCTGGCTCATTTGAGCTCAGCCAGGTCAGACGCCTAGTGTCTTCTGAGCAATGTCTGATTCCTGTGAAGGAGTCAGATGGTCCGCTCTCATTCAAGTCTTCCATCTTGCCCTAGGTGGACCTCTGGGCCAGGTAACAGGGAAAAGGCTGAGTCTTGAAGGAAGTTAAAATCATGCAATCAAATCCTCTAGAGTATATCACAAGCATTTATGAAAATTGGAATTTTAAACAAGCCAACATAAATTAGTCAAGTTTGTTATTGCTCTCCAAGGTAAGTATATAAATGGTTGGGCTTTGTGAGCTGAGATTACATTATCTGATCTCAGGTGATATCTGAAAGGAGTAATAATGACAAAAACTGGCCCTTAGTAGATAAGAATGTAGAAAGAGGAAATGATGAACTTGGTAACCATGGTGGGTAGCTGATCTCTCTCCAGTCGTCTTTTTTCCCCCTTATTTGTCAAGGAACCAGAAACTCACCCTGAGTTGTGCCAAGGGGAGAAAAGGACTTTGAAAAAAATGTATAGAAAATTATTGGGTACATTTCTATTCATCATGTAGTTATGAATACTGTAATATTAATATTGCAATTGCATGCACATAATGTTTTTAAAAACCACGGGTGACACACAGTCTAGCCATTAAGCAGTATTTAACTAGTAAATGCTCAAATGTTAGCAACGACCCTAATCGGGAACATATCTGTGATGAACATTGAGGAAATTGGAATATGACCTAAGAGACAGTGATTGTAAGGATATTAAAAATCCTATTATGTCTGGAAACTTTGCACCATCTAAAGCAGACCTACATAACCAGTCTATACTCCACAATGACGATAAATTACATAATGGCATTGTAATTATGTAATTGACTCTGCTCGGTATATTTATTTCAATTTTTCGTGGAGTCAACCTTCATCCAGAAAAACCGAGTGCTGATTCACTTCGTTGACTTTTGTTTTTCTGTTCTTTCTTTCTTTCTTTCTCTTTCTTTCTTTCTTTCTGGTTTTTGTTTGTTTGTTTTTGCATTTGCTTTGCAAGAACAATCCTACAACAGAATAAATGGCTTAGTAATTTTACTCTTTGCCTTTTCTGGCATTTACTTTTTTTTTTTCTAATTTGAAATGCGACCAGATGCTTCTGTGAAATAAAAACTGAATTATGAAACAAAATGGCTCTAAATCTTCGGTCTGTAGGCAATCCACCAACAGTTACCTTGCATGTGAAACTGGAAATAGGGGTTGCTAGATATTCTAAGTTACAAAATATGTTTTAAATACTATGTAATTGAGGTCACAGTAATAGGCAAACTATTCCTTTCTTTTTTTAAGTTTGCCACTCAACATGGCTATAGAACTTTGAGGACTATTCTAAAATAGCAGTATATAAGAAAATTCTAAGTCTTTGAATCCATGTATAATGGCAGTGTTGATTGAACAGTTCTGAGGAAATCTAAAAAGATCCAGCCAACGGTCATTCTTATTTTGGGGGTTACTGGGATATCCTCACCCTCCCCAAACGATCTTCATCACACGAATTTAGTATGTTCGGGTGATTTGTAGAACGAAATATTGCCTGTAACAAAATGATGCCCACCTCAGTCCAGCCTTGAAAAAATGCTATTAAGGGTCTGTGTGTAGTCCCTCCTGAGTGGGGACACATGGTTTCATACACAAGAATACTGTTGATGTTATGGCAGTACTCAGGAGACTCGAGCCTGAAGTCAAGATTCCAGGGCCCAGAGAGGGATTAGAGGGACTGTGGCAAACAGACAATTTTGCAATGCCCAGGAAGGCATTGTTCTCTAAAAGTCGTGATGGGAAATCTTCCTTTGAAGTACATGATTAAGCAGATGTGGCCAATAGAGTTTTTACTTATTTTGGTCTGTGACATTTCGGAAACATTTTCTTTTTGGCCTCCTACCAACTCATCAGTATGGAAAACTGAGGCAGCTCAAATCTAAGCATAGAAATTCATGTGTCATTTTTGCTTTAGAAGTGCACTCTAGAACAGTTTTGTTCCAAAACATTAGCCACTAGTCATGTGTGGCTATTGAGCACTTGATGTCCTAAAGGTGTAACATATATATATATATATATATATATATATATATATATATATATACACACACACACACGTACTCCTGATTTTTAAAACAATATAAAAATAATAAATTTAAAATATCTCAATAATTTTTCATATTGATTATACATTGGGATTACAGCACTTGTTCTAGATGATAACTTCTACAACCATGTTATTCTAATTTCTCCCTTATTTATGTATTTGTGGGGCAAATGAGCTCTTACAGCCTGAAAAACCCAGTGAGATTCTGACTAGACTTTTTAAATGTGAGAAATAATAATTACCATAATTCTTCATGGTAAAATAGTCTAGTTCATGCTATGTATCTGAACTTATTTGAGAAACAAAAATCAATAATGTATTAACTGTCAGCTCTAAAATGCAAAACAGAATTTATTGTTCTGTGCTAAAATAACCTTAATGTTTTTGCTTTGTGACTATATTGTCTTAATTAAAGGTAACATTATGAAAGAGTTTGTCAAATTAAGGCTCTCTCTACAACAGTCTACCATTATTTAGCTAAGTAATCTTTGTGGGGTTGTTGTTGTTGTTGTTTTTTAATGTTTACTTTTGAGAGAGAGAGAGCATGAGCAGGGGAGGGGCAGAAAGAGAGGGAGACACAGAATTCGAAACAGGCTCCAGGCTCTCAGCTGTCAGCACAGAGTCCAATGTGGGGCTAGAACTCATGAACATGAGATCATGACCTGAGCTGAAGTCAGATGCTTAATGGACTAAGCCACCCAGGCGCCCCTAGCTAAGTTAATCTTTGAGATAGATAACAGATCTCTTTTAAATAAAGAAGATAAATGTTTGTTGTTCTTTCAAAATGGTTAATCTAATTATCCTAACAGATTGTATTTCTGTTAAAGCTTAGATTGAATCGTTTGGCTGAAATGACCAATTTTTGTGAAAGTCTGACTTGTTTTTGCATTGAAATGACAAAGTTAGTCACTATTTTGGCATCATCAGGACTTCATCTTTTACAGTCAAAATTTAAAACTCCCGTTAATCTTTAGAAAGTGCAATTTACAGGTTAAAAAAAAAATAGAGGAAATCACCCTCAGGTGCTCAAGTACTCACCAAGGAAAAGGCATGGGTACTCATTTAAATGGGTAAATTCTTAAACACACACTAGCCTTTCGCATCCGCTACTGCTGGAGCTCCTGTTAACACAGGCCACAGGCAGCGCAGTCAGCCTGAGTGATGGATCAGAGAATGACTGCCCTCCCTTGGAACACTGTGGGGGTGGACGGGGCCCGGAAGGGCAACGCCTAATGATGTTCCAACAATGCCACTGTCCAGTAAGATCCATTTCCCTCTCTTCTTTCCTTTTCCAGTATATGGGACAACGACCCTATCTGCCTGTTAAGTCTCATTAGGAAAAGCACACCGGGCAATTGATCTTCTTAAATGGAAATGTTAATGCTTAGTGAAGAAGGCATTCTTAAAGATTAAAAAGAGTGAGCCCTTTATAATTACTAACCTGGAAATTCTGAGAGAATAAAGAAGGAAGGAAAGAAACGGGAGAAAATAAGTACTCTCAACTAGCTAAAACAAAAAATAATCTTCTGAGCCCAGATGATGTGCTCTTGAAGGGCTTTTTCCTCTGTCCATGTCGGTGACCCATCAGGCCCTTAAACCACGGACGATGAGAAGTCCTACCTTTTCTTCTTATGACAACAGTAGTAAAGGAAGGTTTGCGCTTGGAAAGCAGAGTATCTACCAAGGTCCAGGAACCCGCAGGAACCAGAGATTTAATTTCATTTTCCAATTTGACAGTTTTGAGGAAGAGCCAAAAGAATTTAAGATCTTTTTTCGGTGAAGATTTTTATGTGACAGTCATTTTTACTGTCCATATTTTGGTCTCTGAAAATAATCCTTTTTTAAAACTGAGGAAACCTATTTGTGATGCATAATTTGATAAAAATGTTCACTTCATCTCAAACTAGAAAGAAATATGAGGTACTTGGAATTTAGGTGTGGTTTCTATAAGGGAAAAGTGTTCATATGAAAAATCAAAGAAAAATACTTTGAAAAAAAATCATAATGAAGTATTAGGTCTAATGTTACAGCTTCTTGTGAGTCTGATTGGAAATCAGTGCTCTGTCTTTGTTTCTTTTTGTTTTTGTTTTTGTTTTTTAAGGCAAATAAAATGTTGCACTGTCCTAAATTTCTTGGCATGGAAACTAAAAAACTACATTGTAAGATGTGGGCACTTCTATTCCAAGTATGAGAAAAAGATATACCAGATTTTCTGAAATATCTTTAGTTCATAAGCAATATTTCTAGTTCATCATCAACTGAAGGGAAAAAGGACTTTCATAAACAAAAGTTTCCTTACTCTAGTAAAGTGGATGATCTTATAATGGAATATTATTCTCACTCTATTCAGACATTTTGGCACCAGCCTGTGGGGTAGATTTTTCTGAATATTTGAAACTCGGTAAATACAGAGTTTATTCATAAAAATGTCACGGTCTTTAAAGTTGTACAAACTCATGAATAAATCCAATTGTATCTGAAAATGACAAGCAGTCAACCTTTGTTAGTTTAGGTCTAGGCCTTAGCTCCTTCTCTTCCCTCAGTTTCTTTAGCCTACCTTAAGTGTTGTCCATGAGAAAGAAACTGTATTAGCATGGGAAGGAAGGGATATATCTCTCAGCAGGAGTCTGTAAAATACTTTCTCCAGGATTATAAAATGGCAGGATTTTGTGATAGAACATTTTTGGTTATTAGTAATATAGTGTGTATAAATAAGGACAAAATTAGAAAGCATTTGCTATACAAGCTTTAAGGGCATTTTGTTTCATGGCCCTTAAGTATGCTTCAACTTCTTACCATTGTAAGTGGGATTTTTTATATGTACCATAAAACTGCACCCTATAACCATCTCCTTGTAAACAGTTTGAACACACTGAAAAGGATAATGTGAATGCCATGGGAACATGTCTTATAGCATTACCTAATATTGAGCAACAGTCCAAAGGAATTACTGCCTTGTGAAGAAATCCAAAGGATGTATGATGGCTAGGTTTTCAAAGCAAAAACAATGTGTTACTAGTTACTTCAAATGTATGCTACTGGTCCCTGAAAATGTATGTTTTTAAAATGTATGTTGTTTACTCAAAATTTCAAATTTAACTCATCAGCATTAGGTATCCATTACATACCAGAGAAGACACTATTTTTTCATAAAGCAGTCACATGCATGAAGTTAGGATTACCAACTGATATATATGTATTTTTTTTTTTTTGCACCTCAAAAAACAGAATCACTATAATGCAGATCATGCTTCTACATCTTCCTTGCTGAAGGACAAAACATACAAAGTGCCCGCATTTGGCCTCCCGACTGGAAAGAAGCCAAATCAGTACTCTGGCAGGATCACATCATTCTGCTGAGCTCCAAATACCACAGCCGGGTTTTCTTGCTCTTGTTTGGAGGCTGCTGCTTCCTCCAAGGTCTTCAGCTTCTCCTCTACTAGGCCCTCCTCGATTTCCGGGTCAGCCACCTTTGTCCCATCTTCTATTGCTTTGGGCACCGCACTGGCGGCCTTGGCAGCACTTATATCAGCATCTTTAACTTCTTCTACAGCCTGTACCTTCATCAGCTCAGCCTCTGCCCGCTCAACTGCCACTGGGGCCCCACTTCCTTGAACTTCGTCTCCTTCTGAGATAGCTTTAACATCTTCACTGCCATCCTGAATCGAAGAAGGTGCCTGGCCGGCCTTCTGGCTCTCTTGGATGCTGCTGTGGCTGCTGCTGGCGCTTCCCAGCCGGGAAGAGGCCACCACGGCCTTCACTGCTGCCTGATTAGAAACAGAGAAGTGTCAGGTGTCACCTGCACTTAAAATCCCCAATCAGAGCTCCATCTCAGCTTTGCATGTTCCAGACATATTTATTATTCCAAGATGGTTGAATGAAAACTTGTATGGAGCATAAACAGAAAAATCTCTTTAATCCCAAGCTAGAGTATTTAATCATCTAGACCAGTGAAAGCTTGAGTAAATATGTTTGCCCATGGATAACCTGGTTTCAAATATTCTGGACTTTGTTCCTAAAGTATTTGTTTCATGGAACACTAGTATTATGTGACAAAAGAATTCCATGGTTAGGTTTGTTTGAGAAGTCCTGGGTTCAGTCAAGGTTATTTAATCCATAGTATTTCAGATCAATTTGACCACAGAGCCCTTAAGGTTCATTTAGTCTTTATCAGCCTGTAAGTGATGGCTGAATTGAACGTTATTTTTGACCTTCAGCTGTTCTCTGAAATTCTCTGGATATACAGTCAGTCCTAAACACCATTATGTAAGAGAAAAGCATCTAATATATCTTCTATGTATATTCTATAAAAAGATATATTTTGGACAGTTTTCTGTATCACATGAATTACAGTTGACACTTGAACAACATGCGTTTGAATTGCAAGGGTCCATTTACATGCAGATTTTTTTCAATAGATACATTGAAAAGTTTTTTAGAGATTTTCAACAATTTGAAAAAACTCACAGGTGAAGTATGTAGCCTAGAAATACCCAAAATGTTAAGAAAAAATTAGGTATTATTGTAAGGATATAGTACATAAAACATTGAACATAAAAACTATGCATTAATTGACTGTTATCTCTAAGGCTACCAGTCAGCAGTAGGCTATTAGTGATTAAGTTTTGGGGGAGCCGAAAGTTATAGGTAGATCAACTGTGTTGAGGGGTTGGTGCCCCTAAACCCAGGATTGTTCAAAGGTTAATTGTATTTTAATTTTTACCAAGTATTGTAATTTATCTACATTACATTATAGTTTTTAAAAGTTTCCCAATTTTCACATATTCAGAAAGAAAACTTTCTGAATATGTACCAGTTTCCTGAGCAATGCTGTTTAAGCAGTTCAGTCACAATTAAATGAGTAGCAGTGATAATGTGTTTGGTGAGTAAATCTCAACATATAACACATTTCCCTTTATTAATAATGAATTCTTTAAAAAATTTTTAATGCTTATTTATTTCTGGGGGGGGAGAGAGAGAGAGAGAGAGAGAGAGAGAGAGAGAGTGAGAGCATGAGTGGGGAAGGGACAGAGAAAGAGGGAGACACAGAATCTGAAGCAGGCTCCAGGCTCTGAGCTATCAGCTAAGAGCCCGACACAGGGCTTGAACTCATGGACTGCGAGATCATGACCTGAGCAGAAGTTGGACACTTAACCGACTGAGCCACCCAGGTGCCCCAATAATGAATTCTTAAGAGAGAATAACATAACTGTCAGTGGCTTTACATTGTTGGGATTTCAAAGCAGGATTTTCCCTGGTACCATAGGAGATAAATAATATTATTAGATGAAGAATAGTGGAATTATCTTTAATAGTTGAAGCTAAGAGAGAGATTTTTTTTTTTTTAACAGAACAAAACAAATCTACAAATCTTACCTTAAGCTTGCGTCGGGCATTGAATTCTTGGAGCTTCTTTTGAGCGGTATCCATGTGTACAAAATTAGCTGCTTTGCCTGTGACCCATGGGTGCTGGAGAGCTTGGAAAGTAGTCAGCCGTTTCTTAGGATCCAAAACAATTAATTTTCTAACCTGAAACGATAAAGAACCATAGATTTCTTAGGGAGATTTTTTTATGGCTTGCCCCTCAGCTTGTGAATTTCTATTTTCCTAGCAATACAATGAAATATACATTTAAAAAAAAAAAGCTTTTAAGCCGTCAGTAGTCACTGTACTGATAGCTTCAGGTAGCAGCGGCTGAGGGGGTCTGAGAAGACAGTGGTGTGCACCAGCTAAGAGCCTAAACTTGCAGACAGTTTTCCAAGGGAGGTTAAAGAAACAGGTCCTGGCTTGCCTGTGGACTGTCTGAAGGAGAACGAGCATCTGAATAATTCTAGGCTGTACTTCATACCACTTAGAATTCAGAACTTGTTGGGGCACCTGGGTGGCTCAGTCGGCTAAGTGTCCGACTTCAGCTCAGGTCACGATCTCGCAGTTTGTGGGTTCGAGCCCCGCGTCGGGCTCTGTGCTGACAGCTCAGAGCCTGGAGCCTGTTTCAGGTTCTGTGTCTCCCTCTCTTTCTGACCCTCCCCCGTTCATGCTCTACCTCTCTCTGTCTCAAAAATAAATAAAAACGTTAAAAAAAAAAGAATTCAGAATTTGTTGTATCTCAGTGGAGATAGTATCATCGTGCATCCATCATGTTTTCTATGGGGATTAAATGGCATCAAAGGGACAGTACCATAGTCCTTACTCTTATCCCATGACTCTATGGTAAAGTTCATTCTTTCTAATACCTTCAGGGTTTTGAAGGAATAAGCCAAGTGCTGGAGTAAAAGCCTATTTAGAATCAAAGCAAAGGTGTCAGTGGTTTAGGGGCATGATTTGTTTAAAGGACTGAATTCAACCTATGGCAGACCATTCTGGAGGTTGACCCCTGAGGATGAGCAGATAATAAACTGCCAGGGAGATCAACAACCAAAATAATCTCTGGCCCTGGGCTCAGAAGGGGTGACCTGGAATGAGACAGAGACTATTTGGAGTTAGGAGGCATGTTCAAGCCCAGTTACATCTCTTACCTACTTTTGTGACCCTAGACAAAGACCCACATACTAACTGAGTCCCTGTGGACATTCTCCTAGGCCTTTTTCTTATATGATCTCATTTCCACCTTCATTCCTTTGTAAATACACTCTTATGTGCATATAAAAATGTTTCAAAATTCATATAATTCTTTCCATGACCTTATCAACTTGGAACTATTAGCTCCGATTCATAAATGAGGGATGAGAGGAAGCTCAGAAAGATGTAGTGCCTTACCTAAGGTCGGACAACTTGTAATTGGTGGAGGCTGTGTGCAAACTCAGGTCTGTCTTACCTCAGAGCTCATTTTGTGGCTACTCTACCACAGCGCCTCCATGGCAGTCCGTCAACGCCCCTGGCCTTCAGTCTGCACATGTGGCAAATGAGGGGCTTTTGGTGTCATAGGCCTAAGGTCTTCCTAACTCTGATAAGGTATGAAGAACTGAACACAGGCTAACACAAATCAGGCAGCAACTCAAACGAAGAACACATACCTGGTTCTCCTTTTACTTCTTTTCTGTAAAATTTGCAAAGAAATGTGTGTTTGGGGTAAGAGACAAAATTTGTAGAGGGTAGAGATGTGAGGTTGTTCGGGCTAAAACTCTGAGAGGAGGTGGTGGGAGGCACAGGTGGTTAAGGAAAATGAATGTGCAGAAGGAAGTAAAAATCTGATTGCAGTCCCCCTATAACCTGTGGGATACGTGTCCTAATAATTTTATGTAAATGGCACCTAATCTTTAGCGACAATTCACAATATTATTTCCCTCCCGTTTTTCAATGGTCCTTTTCCTCCTCCTCATCATTACCATCCTCATCCTCGTGAAAATACAAAGAATTTACTGAAATTCAGAATGTTCCCCCAAATTCCACATGTCAGCATTAATCTTTACATCTGAAGATACGAATGCACTGAGTTGTTAAACTTGCTGAAGGTCAGAGAGACCCGGTGATCCTGCAAAGATTCAAACCCAAAGCCTTGCCTTGATCCCACAGCTCCCCTCACAACCTGACTCCACCATGTGTTTGCATTGTTCCCCTGCTGTTATCAGAACAGATGCAGGTTCTTCTGGTAGGTACACAGCTGTGGTACTCAAGGACTCTGTTAGTTCTGAAGTTTCATAAATTTATTAGCTCAAAGGTAAGACTTAGCTGGATGGGGGTGCCTGGGTGGCTCAGTCAGTTAAGCATCCAACTCTTGATGTCAGCTCAGGTCATGATCTCACGATCCATGAGTTCAAGCCCTGCATCAGGCTCTGCGCTGACAATGTGGAGCCTGCTTGGGATTCTCTCTCTCTGCCCCTCCCCCACTTGTGCACGTGTGCTCGCTCTCTCTCTCTCTCTCTCTCTCTGTCTCTCAAAATAAAATAAATTAATTAAGAAAAAATTAGCTGAGGAGTGCCTGGGTGGCTCAATTGGTTGAGCATCCAGCTCTAGGTTTTGGCTCAGGTTCATGATCTCGCAGTTTTGTGGGTCTGGCTCTGCCCAGGCAGTGTGGAGCCTGCTTGGGATTCTCTCTTTCCTTTCTCTTCCCCTCCCCCACTCACACTGTCTTTCAAAATAAATAAACTTAAAAAAATTAGCCGAACGAAGGAATATCACAGCTAATGCTCTTATCCACTTAATTTTCATTAGAGATGAAAAGAAAGTAAAGGAACTGTTATGGAGTTAGTTGACGGTAGCTAGTTAACATGCATTATATATCCTTAAGTCTCACAATAATCTAGACAAAGGTACTATATCATCCCAGAAAAGAAAACTAAAGTAGAGAGATTAGATAACAAGCCCAAGGTCACACCTGTAGGTTGTAAGAAAGGGGGCACTTTAAAAAGGGGGCACTTCAGGTGTGTCAGACTTTAAAAATCTATGGTCTACTTCCTGATCCATTGTTTCATTCAGTACACATTTACTGAGTCTGCACTACATGCCCACGTGGTACTAAGACCTGGGCACACAGGCCTCGACCTCTCCCAGAACTTGCAGTCCAATTAAGGAAGACCTTTCCACAAGTAAATATAACTAACAACCATCATGAAAGCGTGAGCTGGAGGCAAAGCAATAATAGTGGCGGAAGGAACAAAGCAGGTGTGGGAAGGAGGGACTGCTGAGGCGGGAGGTGGGGGGGCGGCAAAGCTACCCCAAGGGAGTCAAATGGCAACTGCGGCTTGACATGAAGAGTTACCCATGCGAGAGGTGTGTGTGCACGTGTGTGTGTGTGTGTGTGTGTGTGTGTGTGTGTGTGTGTATGCGCACACATGTGAGAGAGAGGCAGTATGGAGCAAGAGGCTGGAAGATAGGAGGAAGAACGTTACAAAGCAGAGGAAAGAGTAACGGCCCACACGCTGAGCTATCCTGACGAGGGGCTGTTAGTCTGGTATCCTGGTGTGAAGACAGACCAGAGGACAGTCTGTGAAATGGATGGCATGGGCAGGGTGACAGGTTCCTGGCCAGGCGGTGCTGTGTAGATCTCATTACAGATTTTGGATTTTCTCCTAAGGGCCTCAAAGCAGGAGAGTGACAGGATTGATTTATTTACTAGGCCCTTCCTTAGGATCCTGCTTGGAGAGCTTACTTGAAAAGGGCATGGAGGAGGTGGGAAGGCCACAGGAGGGTTGTGGCAGTGGTCATAGGAGAGGACAGGCCTGGTAGGGGCAGTGGTGGTGGAGTGGGGAGAAGCGGATGGATTCAAGAAGTGTTCAGGCGTGTGGGGCCTGGCTTGAGCCAGGAGTTGGGATGATGCCTCCACACATCACACACACTGTCTCTCTGCCTGACTGCACTGAAAAGTCATGGTCTAGAGGGGGTTTGTTCCATGAAAGAACATGGATGGGAAGGAGAAAAAGTTTGGAGGGAAAAGAGCATTGGCTGGAAACCTGGATCATTTGTTCTGCTGGGGAGCTGTGTGACCTTGGACAGTCAGTTCACCTCTCTGGGCTTTAGCACCCTCATCTTTGTATTTGGAGGAAAGCAGCACAAAAGTTACCCTTGGAGAGCTAGCCTTCTGTGGTTTAAAAGTTAGCTTTTAGTTATTTCTGGGTGGTTTTTCTCTAGCCATTGATGGTTACTGCTTTCATCCCATGCTAGTATCCCCCTCATTTTAGAATAGGTGGGCCATCTCCGGTGACGATATACACACAAACTTTAATATGAGCTTAAGTGAGATCCCAAGTAAAACAAACAAAAAAACAAACAAAATGAATTATCAGTAGAGTGTAACTTGTTTATGATGCCAGTGATGCATGATGGGACTTGTGTTACTACTGGGATATTTTAATAAGTTTGAACCTCTCAAGATGCAATGCTTACTTGAAATATAATCAAATCTAGGTAATCTAGGCAAGCCAGGTTAAAATGGAATTATTCTGTGTAAATTATATTTGAATTCACCCAGAACAGCTGGCTTCACAGGCAAGGTTTTACCTTGACTAGATGGTAAAAACTCACTAATTAATACTGTAGTGACTTTTAGTTTGTGATAATTCAGCTGGTGATGAGTCAGGCATATCTGTTTTTCATTATCTACAAGGAAAATGCATTAGTGTGCCTTTTATATGTTTTATAAAAAATACAATTATAAAGAAATAAGATATTAAGAGGGGCAAATTTTAAAAAATGACACTGCCCATTAACTAATTAAAAATGAATACGAGGATTGTTCTTCGTTTTGTTTTGATCACACTTACCAAGTCCTTGGCATTTAGAGATACTTCATCCCACCAGGGGGAGATAAAGTAGTATTCACAATTCAGAATTCTCCTGAACATGAACTGATCACCTCTTTCATCATAGAATGGTTCAAATCCACAAAGTCTAGAAGGACAAAAGATAGGGAATAAAATGTCTTTAAATGCCTAAATACATTTCATCAAATTTTTGTGGTAATTCAGAATTGTCCTTTTCACAGCTTCCCATTACGAACACCAGTCTACTCAGCACGAGTGTGGAACTGCCTCGTTATAATTCACTTTTGCTGTGTAAATACACATCATGCTCTCTGGAAGTAAGAATAGGTACAAAGCCGATTCAGAATTTCTACAAAGAGTTTATAATAACATCAATGACTCTGACACAAAACAATAACAATAATTGTTAACACTATTACAGGCACTATGCTAATGATTTTCTGAGGATTTCTTTTCAGCAGGAATTGAGAAGATGGACTGATTAGAAGTTCCAATTTATTACAAAGTGGAAGAATTAGGATTTTGAGAATAAACAGATTAAGAGGTAGACAGGAAAGATTTTTCAGTCATTTTTCCTCAGCTCTATTCGTTGAATTCCATCATAGAAATGAGTAAAGTACTAGATTTCCATCCCACACCAGTTTGGATGTCAGGATGAACAAAGACAGGAGCTAAGACTGTTGTCAGGAAATGACCCTTTAAAACCTGACAGAGTGAACACATGGGGCCAACAGAGATGAATGGGCTGGTGCTCCCTTAGCCCTGTGTGTGACCCTCACTTCTGTACCTCTGGAAGATCTACATTCACCTTCACTTTCCACTAGCGGGTCAGCATACAAGTGAATGGGAAAAGTGAGGGGAAAGAAATAGAAAATCATCTTCAACATCCTAAAGAGAGAGAGGAAAAGTGAGTTGCTGAAAAGGGACCACCAAAAGCCTCCACTGTAGGGGCAGCTGGGTGGCTCAGTTGGTTAAGCATGTGACTTCGGCTCAGGTCATGATCTCGTGGTTCACAAGTTTGAGCCCCACATCTGGTTTTCTGCTGTCAGCTCAGAGCCTGGGGCCTGCTTTGGGTTCTGTGTCTCCCTCTCTCTATGCCCCTTCCCTGCTCACACTCGGTCTTTCTCTCTCTCTCAAAAATAAAAATATTTAAAAAATTAAAAAAAAAAAAGCCTCCACTCTTTACAGATGGGTACAGGTTCTGAAATCACTAGGGATCAAGAGGAAACTATAAAAACAAGTCCCTACCAGGATATGAGTTGCACTGGACAAAAAATGGAGGGGAAAGGATGAACATGTTAAAAAACATTTTCTTAAATTCTTCTTTCAATCTGGTCAGGAGGGTGTAGAGCATGAAATGTTTGAGTGCTTTCTAATGCAGTGGGTTTCTAGGGAAAAGCATTTTGTCATGTCCTTTGCTCAGGGACTGTTCTATTGGGAGTCTTTGTCTCTTTTGAATATTCTGGAGCCAGCCAGGACGAGAAAGGCCTGGCAGTGCTGAGGCTCGGACCAGTGTGTCCTCTCCCACCGCAGCCAGCCATCTGCACTGAGAGTCCTGCTCCCCCATAAGGAGAGAAGGGAGCCTACGTCCACACAAGGGGGCAGCTCAGCCTTGCCTGGCCCTCCAGTGCCAGCCACAACACTAGAAAAATATAGCCTACTGTTAGTTAGTCATGGAGAAATTAGCCAACGTTCCAGGCTTGGTTTAGGAAACTCTTCTGTTTCCCCTTCTGGGAGTCTAGAAAGAAAAATTACAGTTCAGAAGGTACAGTACTCAAATGCCTTTCTTACTTCTCAAACATATCTGTAAATCTGTGCACTGATGACAGAAGTAAAAAGTTTATGTCATGTCAGCCTAAAATGCCAAAAATGGAAGAACTGTGACACAGAACAACACACACACACACACACACACACACACACACACACACACACTACAAAAAGCCTTCAGAAATGGAAATATTTGAGAATCCTGACAACGAAAGTTGCAGAAGACATTAGGGTTAGGCCAACCATGTGAATGTCTGATACAGGGGAGCTCCAGGCTGCTGGGAAGAACTGTAGTGTGGGACAGTTGCAGGACAGAGTTCAAATCTCCGGCCTTATCTGAGTCTGATTCTGACCTAAGCATTGTAGTAGTTGCTTTTGTCTGAAGGCACAAAGGATTTAGGTGTAAAAGGTAGAGGGACCAGAGTTTCTGTGAGAAATAACAAAAAGGCCTTCATTTCTAGTCTACTGCCATCCTTAGAAAATAGCAAGGTCACAGCACAAAATAGCTCAGTGGAACTTTTAATTATAGTAAAGGAGATACACAGGTCCAATGGCACAGTCTTGGAGAACTTGTCCTGGTGGGAGGGCTGTGGCGGTGGTCACAGGCTACTACTGCATACTTTGAAGCAACACCTACTAATTAATGACCTTAAGTGAACCAGGGGAAGGGGCTTTGACAGACTCTTAAAATTATTTTCAGGGCTATGATGTTTCTCCAACAATCACATTCTTCCCTCTTCGTTTTCCCTGCTCAGTGACCACATTATGGGGTTTTACTCGTTCCAGATTTCAGGTTCTCAGGGTGAATGTGATGTAGTTTCCTACCTCCATCTCTCTGAGTTCCTGTACAACCTTAATGCTTACACCCCCCCCCCCCCCATCACATTTCAGCATGAAATTGCAATTGGGTGGGCACACATACTTTAGGGGCAAATCTGATTCATTATTTGTGCAGTTCAGTTTTTTATTTCACATCACTGTGATATGTCACCTGCCTAATTCAGGAGCCAACACTGTCTCCTGAGTATAAAAGTGACCTCAAATGTAAGCTGAAGGAGTTCCATGATGTGGCCTCGGGAATTCGTTTTAGTTAATTAAGCACTTAGTATGGCAAAAAAATTACCTAACAGTTTTGCACTTTCATAAGAAAAAAACTATGTTTCTCTACCTCTCCAAATGCTTTTCAAGCCTTTACTATATTCTGGATACACAAAGAATTCAACACTGAAACTATCTTTTGACGTTACACAGTAGCAGACAGCTATTTAATGGGTTGCTTATTAAACTTTTTTGTTTTGGCTACTGACTACTGACTATATCCAGGTGAACACAGTTTACTAATTTGTTTGGGGGTACCCTAGTTACCCTCTTCCTAGTCCTTATTACCCAGATACTACACTTTCTAAGATCACTATTAAATTCAAAAACAACAATAACAACAACACCCAAACCTCTTTCTGCTATGGACTGAAATGTGTCTCCCTAAAATTCATATGTTGAAGTCCTAATCCCCCAGTGCAATGGTATTTGGAGATAGAGTCTTTGGGAGGTAATTAGGGTTTGATGTGGTCATGAGGGTGGGCTAACTTCATGATGTGATTTCGTCCTTAGAAGAAGAGATACCAAAGAGCTTACATTCTTTCTCTGCCATGTGAGGAAAGAGTTAGAGGACAGGTGTCTGCAAGTCAGGAAGAGAGCTCTCACCAGGACTGGACCTCCTGGCACTCTGATCTCAGACTTCCAGCCTCTGAAACTGTGAGAAATAAAATTCTGTTGTTTAAACCACCCAGTTTGCAGTATTTTCTCATGGCAGCCTGAGCCGATTAATATCCTCTCTTTCATACCTTCCAAAATCTCTACAGATTTGAATGGTATAGGTTCCAACAAGTAACTGTGCAGTGTCCTCTAAATGGCAACCAAATCTGCTTGTCTTAAGTTAAACTCCAGAACTCACTGACACCTTTCTTCTGTAGCCTCTCTTCAGCAGTCTTCCCAGACACTCCTCTGTCCTTGCTTACCTCCCTCATATTCCTCTGCAATTCCATCATGTCTTTGGCAAATTTCCTGAAACCCTTTGTTTATTCATAGCCAGGAGCTCAGGAATGGAGTTGGGGATACCAGAGAGCGAGAGATTAGCCCAACTTTTTTCTACCAGAGAAAAGGTTTCTCTGAGTTTAGGGTATTAAACTCAAGGTCCTTGGGGACCTAACACAAATAGAAAACAAAATTGATAGGCAAATTGCATTAAAAACATTGCTGACAAGAAATGTACCAGTCTGGAATTGTTTATGAAATTAAATAGCCACTTGCTTTTTAAAAAGCAATACTAATAACTAAATACTAAATAACTAATAACTAAATACTAATACTGTATTTTGATGAGATGCAAATAAGTAAAATAACAGCACGTTTTTAATAGATGGACTTGAGTTTCATATTCATTACTATCATCAAATAATGAATTGTTCTCCAAATCTGCTACACACTGCACTGCAAAATGGGACTGAGAAAAGTCCTGGACAGTGGGGCGCCTGGTGGCTCAGTCAGTTAAGCATCTGACTCTTGATTTCTGTTCACAGTTCATGAAATTGAGTCCAGTGTTGGGCTCTGTGCTGACAGTGCAGAGCCTGCTTGTGATTTTCCCTCTCTCCCTCTCTCTCTGCCCCTCCCCTGCTCATGCTCCCCCCCCCTCTCAAAATAAATAAATAAACATTACAAAAAAAGAGAGAAAGAGAGAAGTCCTGGACCGAAGTGCTGGTTCTAAGGAAATTATAGAATAAAAAGTAATGCTTATTTTCAGAAAATTCTATCACTGGCTACATTTAGTATGTCATAGAAAATTACAAAAGTCAAAAAGTAGTCTTGCTTTTTATGAGGACTATCAGTACCTAGAAAATATTACAGCAAAGGCAAATAGAACACATAGAGGTTGCTTTTCTTCACTTACAAGATGTAGGTGATTATTCCGACAGACCACATGTCCACCTCAGGTCCATAGGCACAGCCTCTAAGGATTTCAGGTGCTGCAGAAAGAATGAATATTGTGTTAAATTGGAGTTTAAATTTAACATTTACATCTCAATAACAAGCAACAGGTAAGAAATTAATTAACACAAAGTTCAGAACAGTTTTGTAACCAATTTTGTCTCCCCAAACCAAAGTGTGAGACTACAAACCCTCATGTCTACTTTAATGGGAGAAATCAAAGTCTTTCTGTGTTTGGGGTGCATAAAAATAAAGGTATTAACTTTAATATTCTACATCAGAACATTCATTCGAATCAGACAGAACTGCATCTCTGCTATAAAAGATCCCTTACTTCAGAGGGAGCTTTGTACGGAGAAAAGGAACACAAATTTAGCATAATAAGGGGAAAAATGCAAGTTATGCTACCTTGAGATCTAGACCTTCTTGGGAGCATGGGGCATCCATGCAAACCTGTATTTGACAGCATGCAGGGCAGGGACCAGCGCAGGGACCTGGGCAGACAGTGGAAAGGACTGGGAAGTCTCTATGCTGGAAGGCTGGAACAGGTGTTAGAAGGGGCCCGGCACATGTCTTAGTACTGACAACTACATGTAGGTTCCCAGAGAGCAGCTGTCCCCAGTTTGGGATTATGAACTGAGAAAGGGATCTTCTCCGCGCACAATAAGCTTGCTCCTATTAGCCCTGCCCACCATGGTGAAAATGGAAGGTCTTCTCAGCCATCAAACGGCCCTGTAGTATAGAATGAGGAGATCTTTTCTGTTTTTATTATCTTAGAGCTGTGAAAATGGAGAGTTAACTGCGTCCAACTGTTTGCACCAAGAATTGGAGGTGTTATTTGTTTGCCTAACAAAGGAAGAAAAGGAGAAGTGAGAGTTTTACAATCCATGCAGAAATAAGGCTCGGGCCTCTAGCCCCAGAGTGGCCTATAGCCTCAGTGTTCCCATTTTGAACAAAAGTGCTGTAGATGTCAGTGGGGTCTCTGAGGGAGGAGCTGACCAATCAATGTTGAGAGCTCCTTGAGGGAGGCTTTGGGAATGGGGGCACCATCCTCCTCCTTCCAGCAGGGGGCAGGAGAGCAAGGGAGCTGGATCCCCGGTCTGCAGGCTGAAAATGTCACACTCAGACTAGGTCATTAAAGTGAGCCCTGGAAGGCTGCTATCCTCCTGGAACTCTGAATTTGACTTAGAGGAAGGAACACAGTGGATTTTCCACTGATGTCTTCCCATACTACCCCTCCTCCCCCATCCTTTTGCAATCAGGATATTCTCTTCTCTGCACAAACTGTGTTACATAAAATACAAGAGATGAAGAGCCCATACGGTGAAACGAGAGTGTGCAATGTAACACTCCAAGCAGCAATTCAGCAAGATGCACCCTTTAAAGAATGGTGTCTGGGGCCAGGAAGTTTTTCTCATCTATAGGCATATTATTCCTAGAAAATTTTCCTCTTAGAATTTAATTAACATAATTAAGAAAAATGCACGCTCGTTGCCAACACCATTCACTCCTTCAGGTTAGCTTTCGTTTTCCAGGGCAATCTGTACCCCACATATGGTTCCTTTGGGCCTCAATACTGAGCGCCCACTTGCAAATGCCTTGCTCATCAGGGTTCAGAGGAAACTCTGGTTAGGCTGCCTCTTCCAGGAGGGCCGCTGTGCTGTCTGTGTCACTGGGAGCTGTTCTAGTCAGGGAGCTGAATGCACACACATTTAGTACGATTAGCCCTTCCCCACTCAGGTCTTCCCATCAGTGGAGTGCTGTCAAGTCCCACACTGACATTTAGACATACAGAAATCTGTTGGGGAGAGTCCTTTACATTTTCTGGGACTCGTTTTTACCTCTAAAACCTAAGTGAATTGGATTAGCTAATTTCCAAGTACTCTTGAGTTTGAAGCTACTAGCCACTGTGATATTAGTAGAGGGGTTGTTACTGCCAATTTAAACAAGAAGAGAGGACAGGCACTCTACTGAATTCCTGTTCCTCTGCCGGAGCGTCAACTGTGTACGCTGGCCCCGGGCGTAACCTATCCTATTGGCTCCAGGGCTCTCAAGCCTCCCCGCGGTGCTGTCCGGAGGTGAGCGCCCTGTCGCAGAGGTCAGGTGCTTTTTCTGGCCATTCTTGATAGCTCCCAGGTAAGGGCCCAAAGTAAGCGAATACCATGGAACAAAACTCTTTCTGAATCCACTGTTTAGGGCATCTGGTTTTCTTACCTGACCTGGTAATATCTGACCTCCCCTCACAGCACAGGGTGCAACCTTGCCCTCCAGAGGCAACTTAGTTCCTTGTAAGGCGGCAGGCTGCAATGTGGGCAATCCCCTGGTGTGAAACACTAAACTTTCCATGGTGAGGTTAACTGAGACAAAAGCCATATAGAATGTTTTTGCCCTCCATAATAAATATCTCTTAAGAAGAATTTAAAATATTTACTAATCAGAATACAAAACTTAGGTGAAACAAACCCTAAGCATCTAGATCCAATCAGAGCCCATTCACAGAAACCTTTAAATATTTTCACAGTTGCTAGTTATCATAACCTTGACTTCAGGACCCGCAGAATATACTCTTGTAATCTGTCTGAACCCTTTCCAAGAGCCAGAAGCTTTCCAGAATACATTTCAAGCTCCAGCATACCAGCGCTACAGGTCTCCTAGGTATCAAATGTCCTTGCGGTGGATTCTACAATTTGGTGATTTTATTAAGGAGGGAAATACTTGACTACTTCCAACTTGGTTCAGGAAAAGACATCAGCTAGCCCACCTTTTAATGCTATAAGCACTTCCAGGTGTCCTACATATCTTTTCACCTCACTGCCCAAACAAACAAATAAGTAAAAAAAATACAGTAAGGGAGAAAATCATTTCAAGGTGTGATCCAGTTTTTAAAAATGTGTTCAAAATAATTTAGAATCCTCTTTTCTAAAAAAGTCAGTAATCCTTTATTGATTTCTCTGGATGTCTTCTAAGTGGATCCACGTTTTGTGCCACTTCGTAAGCTTATCATTCGTGTTATTGCTCATTAACACTAAATGCTACAGAGCTCATACTCCAATCTCCAACGCAGAATAATTGTGGCAAATGGTCTTAGAATTGCCAAGATACCAGCCTTCACTTTTTTTTTTTTTAAATTTTTTTTTCAACGTTTTTTTTTTTATTTATATGTGGGACAGAGAGAGACAGAGCATGAACGGGGGAGGGGCAGAGAGAGAGGGAGACACAGAATCGGAAACAGGCTCCAGGCTCTGAGCCATCAGCCCAGAGCCTGACGCGGGGCTCGAACCCACGGACCACGAGATCGTGACCTGGCTGAAGTCGGATGCTTAACCGACTGCGCCACCCAGGCGCCCCGGGCCTTCACTTTTTTAACATGCAATTTTAACCGAATATCAAAATTATATTAAAAATTCAAACTTTATTATATTTATTTACCAACATACCACTTAGACCTCAGAGTGTTGCTTTTTCGATAAGATCATGGTACCATTAAAACTTCTAGAGACTGAGGGTCCATCTACAGACTGGGATGAATTTCAGTTTATTAAATAAACTCACTGTTACTAGTTCTCGAAATGGTCCCACATAAAAAGTATGAGGTATGCCCTATGACACCCTGACAGGGGCCACTGAGGCTAAGTTTCCCCTCTTTTTCTAAAGCTTTAGGAGAAAAGTAGAGGGATGATTTTGGCCATGGATTGCACCTTCATTTTGTCAATTCCTTCCTACCTATTGAGTTAAGACCACACATTGGCATTCTTTAGCAGAAGACTTTTTTCAAACTACTGTTAACTCTTCTGAGAAAGACAAATCCCAGGGAGACTAAGATGAGTGAAATCCACATGTTCATTCATTCACTCATTAAACAAACCATGAACTATTTATTAAGTACCTGCTGTATGATGGGCACTATGTTAGATGGTGTTGGGGGAGCAATGGGGAGTTCCAGAGAACACGTCTCTGCCACCATGGAGCTTACAGTTTGGTGGGGGAGGTAGGCATTGATCGAGAAAGCCACATGAAGAAATACAAAGTGGTAACTGTAAGTGCTTGGATGGAGGGTGTCTCCAATAGAGGGCTGACCTGGTGAGAAAGATCAAGGAAGGTGGGTAGAGAAAGCAAAGTTTAAAGTGAGATGTGAAAGACTGGAGAAGTTAACCAGGCAAAGGGGGAGAGGGCAGTGGTTGAGGAAAGAGAGTGAAGCGGGTTCGGTGGAGCAGCCACACATGCAGAGACTTTGTGGTGGGCAGGAGCGGGCAGGAGCAAGGGTGCCCAAGGAGCTGAGCAAGCCAGTGTGGGTGGAGCACACCCCTGGGCACAGTGAAGTCCCTGTGAGATGAGCCCCTGTGAGGCAGAGGCCAGACTACAGATTCCAGTACATGAGGGCTTCTGTTTGTTTGTTTCTTTATTTGTTCTTAAATTCTCTCCTATGCTTTTGTTTTAGTGATTCAAAACATAGAGGAACAAATCTATTTTCATCTTAAAGCCTGAATCTGACTTTGCAGAATTCCACCCCCTCCTACAGCTGAGGGAGAGCCACTGTGGAGCTTTTCACTGTACAGTCTTGTCTTGAATTGAGTTTTCTTTAGAGCACAAGTCTTCAGCATCTAGAAGTCTCTCTACACTTTGCCTCTGAGGAGTGAGCACTGTGGAAGGAGGAGAAAGAGGGATTTATCTACCAGAAGGAGAAGAGCAGTGTTTGGAAATTCTCTCCCCTTGTTGCTCTTAACATGGTGAGGAACCCAGAGGAGAATGCACTCCAGGCAGCTTCCTACAGGCAGCTGGGCAGACCCTACTCTGTGCCTTCCTCAGCACCTGTACCATGTGTGGTCCTTTGTCAGGGTGTCACAGATATTTGGTGAGAACGGGGCACAACATTTAAGCCCTGTCAAGTGCAATTTTTGCTTTGACAACAGAGAAGACAGGTCATGTCCCGGCGCCATTTGCTTAGTGTTGTAACAAAGGGGTGAATCAGACTGGGATACAGTTGACATGTTTCCAGAAGGAGTTGCCTCTGGCTAGGAGCAGCCTTACCAGTTTACTA